CAAGCAATATGAATTCTAGACAGCATGAGACCCTCATTTTCACTTGGCACTCAATCATCATAGGCGGAACACATAACCCAACCATTCTCCCAGTACAATCAAGTGGGCATCAACAGACCGCGTCACCCATGCATCCACATGCACCACAAACCACAACTCCCGATTCCAAGACAACGACAGAGATAAAAACTTGCCTTGGGCAAGCACAAACCACAATAAACAAAAGGAAAAGGTGAGTTAGCATAAATCACAAGAGACAATTTTTTTCTATGGAAGGACAAGTACAAAAACTTGGTGTGGACAGGCACAAATCACAATAAACAGATGAAAATGAGTGTTAGCACAAAACATAAGAAACAATTTTTTTCTATGAAAGGACAAGGACAAAAATATGGTTTGTGCTGGCACCTTAACAAGATCAAATGATGACCAAACCGAAAAGGTTGCGTCCCTGTACAAATCAGTCAAGCCAAGCTCTCGAAAACTGAAAAAATAAGATGCTGTTGAAGCTCTATACTGAAACTTTGAAACACATTGCAGCAGAGCTATTGCTGCTCTGGATTATAGGAGTTTTAGAAACAGAATAGCTACATGAACTAGGAAAACAAGGCAACAAGAGCTAAGTCACAAGCTGATAACTTACTCTAAAAATTGTCAACTAGCTACAACAGTTCGACTGAACTGCTGTAGAAACCAAATGGATGCCCAAAACAAGAGGAAACTGTCACTGAACAATTATTCAAAAGCAAAAAAGAAAACAAGCATGAGCACGCCCGACAGACAGAAGTCACACAGAATGATAAACAAACAAGCAGCCCCTGTGAGAAATTTCCAAAAATCAAACTAAACGCGATTGACCTGAGATTTTACATGTGGTCTTCACCATTCAAGATTATTTGATAACTTAAATCTGAACTTAACTCTACACTAGGAGTGGTTTTCAGAATTGCAAGTGTATATCTAAATTTGGGTTTTGGAATTTTATGTTTCTGGTGTCATGTCATTTTTACACTTGTTGCCTAGATAAATAGCAACATGTCTATATAGTTCGACATGTAAGAAAACCATAGATGGTGGTCTCATAACACATCCAGATCTACACAGGAAACATGCATTTACCTCTTCATCACAGGTTCATCAGGATGGAGCCCAATTGCATCAAGAGTCCTTTCATCCATGACAAGTTCAAATCTTCTATCCAACTTCGACTCCAATACATCATCAACCTGCGAAAGGACTGTTCATATAAGATGAAATAGTTCTTTTCTGCTCTTACAATATTACAAGGTAAAGTTGAGTTAAAAATCAGTAAAGTTGAGTTGAAAAATCAGTAAGCACACATTACTGTTTGACAAGGAAACGGAAACTTCAAAAAACCAAAAATAGTATTCATTCAGTCATAATTACTACAGACTAGTGTTAGATGTGGTAACTTGATATAGGAAAACAAAAGATAATGTTAGTTGCCACTTGTCCTATACATCTCAAACTCCCAATATGACTATTGCCTATTTTAGATTTTCCATAAATACTTGGGGGCATCCATTGAACATGGTAGCTATTTATAAGAATATTCCAGATTTACTAAGATAGCACATTATTGCCTATTTTCAGTGAATAAGTCTGCAATTTAGCAAATTAGTAAGATAGCAATTAGTGTGAAATATTCTTACTAAATCTGTAATCATCCATTAACCTACAAATAGTTACTGATTTGTTAACAAACAGCCATTGACCACAAGATCATGTTGCTTGTAAGATAGACAAGTCAAATAGCAATTTAGCCTTCTAGTTCTAATGTCAACAAAAGTAGCAGTGATGAGGCAAATTTAGTTGCAATTTCGCCTTTGCACTGAGGTAGGGTGAGAGCATAAAGCACTTTGGTAGGTAATGAGCAAATGCCCGCCATATAAGTAATGCCTTCGCACCAATAATCTGCAACCATATATAAACACACAGCCATAACTCGGAAGGTACTTTGCCAAAGGGGCTTTCATCATTGACATACCTGGACAAACTCAAATGCATTAAGACAATTCGGTTACAGACCAAGCAGGAGCATGATTCTTTAAAGCAGTTTGAATGTAAATATTAGTTCTGGGGTTGAACATCTTAAATTATAAATGAAATATCTGGAGGGCTGCATGGCTCCCACGCACAGCTCTTTTTAGTAGCATAGCAAGTTCAGGTTCATTCTTGTATGTATTAAACTAGTTGGCAAAGAGACCAAATTTAGACATGACACTGTACTACCAAAATTCTGGGGTTTTTTTTAGGCTCAACAGAGAACCGTACTCTGATGGAAGCTCACTACCATACAAAAAGAAAAATTAAAACTGATCAAGTTATCGAACAACTCACTATAAATCAGAACTAGTATCTGAATCTGAAATGAACAAAAAAGAATGGAACACACAGTTAAAAGACTGGATATTACACATGCTAAACACCATAATTGCAGTAATTTAAGTGTGCAATTTACTACTTATAAATGTGCAATCAAGAAATGGATACTACACACATATTTATTGTACAGTATATGCAGCAGCTGCATTTTCAACCAATTGATTTTCTTTTGAATGACTACGTGACAAAAATATATTTAGATAATGGCAAACTGTGGATTAGCAGCTGCTATGAACCTATGAACGATTCACTCAGCAAATCATAATTGGAATTTCCGAAAAACAAGCAAACAAACAAAACAGCTATTGTCCAGTATGAGCACGAACTCAGCATTTTATTGCTTACAATTATTCTTAATCTTAGTCTCCTACCAGGAAATAAGTTTATTGGCCTATGGTTAGTTTGTTGCACATAATTTTTCACTCTATACTGATGGCTTCGCCTTATTATTTCTACTCGACTATCTATTTGGTGGCTGCAATACGAAGGCAGAGTGCAACAGATAGTAGGAAATGCACCAATAGCGTCCAAAATCAAATTGGATAGCACCCTAGAATGCCAACAGTGAGAGGAGGAGAGTGACAAGCAGGCAATGACTGGTGTTGGAGAAAAAGACAAGCCATGACAGAATGAGGTGAGTGACAGGTAATGGGTGAATGAAGCATTGAAGCTTGTTCGGGTAACTGAATGAAGCGAAGCTCCCATGTCCTCCAACAAATCCATGGACTGACAGAATGTGGATCCCTCCCATGTCCTTCTACCTTCAGAAAATACTTTCCTGCACCAAACACTAACAGAAACAGAGCTACACTTGAGTCTTGCTTTAAGCTTACCGCTGAGACCTCCTAGTTTGCCCAATCCATGCTCGCGCCCTTGATGCACTCTTGTTCCATTTCCCAAATCAATGCGTGCACTGCCACAACCTGGGCTCCAGATTTGCTCAACCCGAAATTGACTCGGAAATTGATTCTGCAGCAGAGGGCGAACTCCTCTCCTTGCTCACAAATCTCATCCCAGGACAACAAAACAAGCTCCTAGCACCTAGAGGAAGGATCACGCACCATATCAGGAAAGGGGATCGAGCAATCGAGCAAATCCACACCACATCAGGAAAGGGGATTGGATAAATAAAGCAACACATGAGGACCACAGAAACGAAGAGGAAGAATAGGGACAAATCACGCACCAGAGGTCCCGGCCGCCGTTGTCCTGCATGGCGCGGAGGAGCGTCTGGAGGAGCTCGTTGGCGGTGCGGATGCGGGCATGGAGGCCCGCGAGGTCGGCGCGGCCTGCGTGGCGTTGAGCCGCGTGGAGCGCCGCGCAGCCGTCCCAGAGGCGGACGATGGTAGCTGCGGGCTTGCTGTAGCTTCCATAGCGGCGGAGGAGGGAGGGCCCGGCTCCTCCGCCGGAGGAGACGGTAGCGACGGAGACGGCATTGGTGAATAGGAACAGGAGCAGCGTGGCCACCGTGGTGCCGCTGCAGCCGTAGCAACGGAGCCACCTCGCCGGAGCTCCTCGGAGACCACCGACAACGTCAGCGACAAGGACCCGCGGCTCCGCCGGAGGAATCGCCGCGCCGCGATGAGCTCGAGGAAATAGCCCCCAATCCTCTTCCCTGGACGCGCTTGAAGGAATACGAACAGTGTCCGAATACGGTGGATTAACGGGTAATGGATAGCAACCGATTGGATAAAAAACCCAATAGATAGCTTCATGACGCACAAATCATCAAGCACGATCGACGATCCACACGTCGCCTGAACAAAAGTTGCATTTCAGGCGACTATAGTATAGGAAAAGTGAAAAAGAAAACATCCTTGCATGAGTAGGAATTTCATGAGCAAGAACGCGTCCACTTTTGACCAACAAAAAATTAAATAAAAAAACAAGAAAGGTATACATATTGGACTAGCTATAGCACTAGTAATACTTTATTATATATATATATATATATATAATAATAATAGCATAAAAGGCAGTACTGATCGTTATTTGTTCAGTGGGCAGAAAGAAATAGGAGTAAATAATAAAGACAAATAATGACAGTACAGTAAGAGCATCTCCAAGAGTTTGTCAAATTTTATTTGACAAATCTTATGATTTACCAACTCCCAAAATTATATGTCAAGTAAAAAAACAATCCATCTCTAAGAGTTTGGCATTTTTGACTTGGTAAAATAAAAAAACCCGTTAACAAAACGAAGAGGCCCGTTAATAAAGACCCATAAGCGAACGAAGAGCCCCGGACAGTACAGTAAAGATGCTTTATTGATGCCAAGTTGTTTTGTCAAACTGTTAGAGGCTGTTTTTTCTTATTTTGCTAAAATTATATGGATGCCAAGTTAAGATAGCAAATTTTTGGAGATGCTCTAAAGATGGCAGATAGTAGTGCTTAATTGCTTCTTGTTTCCCCACTATAGCTGGCGTAGGTAGGCAGAGCCCACACGTCATTAATAGGCTACGACGTCACCTCACCCTCTCGTCCTCTTCCTCTCAATCCGTTCATCCATCCATGAGCGTCCATCGCCCAGCCACCAGCAGCTAGCTACTAGCGGCTCACCAAGCTCTCCCTCTCGCCGGCCGTCCAGGCCGCCATGGATCCTCATCCGCCGCCTCAGCGGCAGGAGAGTGGGAAGAAGACGGCGGAGCTTGACCCGGTGCTGCACTCCATCGGGTTCGAGATCGAGGAGGTGTCGCCGTCGCAGGTCACCGGACGACTCCCCATCACATCCAAGTGCTGCCAGGTGCGTAGCGGGAGTGCGTCGTCGTTCGTTCTGATGATGGTGACCTGATGAGCTAGATACCGCCTGAATCGATCATTCATCCTCCGTCATCTGTGCTGTGCTGGTGCAGCCGTTCCAGGTGCTCCACGGCGGCGTGTCGGCGCTGGTGGCGGAGGGCCTGGCCAGCATGGGCGCGCACATGGCGTCGGGCTTCCGGCGGGTGGCCGGCGTGAGCCTGAGCATCAACCACTTCCGCAGCGCCAAGGTGGGAGACGTCGTCCTCGTCCGCGCCGCCCCGATCCACGTCGGCCGTTCAACCCAGGTACGTACGTACACGGTTATTATTAGCCCCGCCGGCCGCCGCCCGGCACAACACCACGGCACCACATACCATTCCGTTACGTTCATTCGTCTTGTTGTTGCTTATTAATTAAGTAATTATTTTTAGCTAGCTAGCGAACGACGACCGTGCCTAAGTTAAGTTAGTTAGGCACCCACAACCACACACGGCAATACTAACTTTTTAATTTGCCTCCCCGGCCACACCACCTCCTCACGCTGCCCTGCATTTGTCGTCTCGTCTTATCCGTCTATGATAGTGATAGGATCATGGTATCTACCAAGATCTTCTTATACCATGTTTGATCAGTTTCGGATTCTTAAAAACTAATTGTTGGCTCTAATTTTTAAAATATGGATTATGAGAAGAAAAAAAATACACTGCATCCAGAGGATATCCATTCTGACCACATTCATGCAAAAAAAACTATATACGTATATAGTACCACCTAGTATGAAAATTCGAATGAGGTACATGCATAGTATGGTATTTACCTCCGGTTTTGATTATACAATATAGGCCACATTATTACAACCAGTTAATTTTTCCACTTCATTCTTTATTGTACTACTACTATCGTACACAAATATGCCTGGATGGGGATATGGGACAATGACGACTTTACACGGTGGCACCCTCGCCATCCAATCTTATCCGTATCGACGACGACAACAATGTAGATGATGACCACACAATGATGCCAATTTTTGATAAAGAAAGAAAATCTAAATGGCAATCTGACACGTGAAATAGTCAACTACGGAGTACTAGTATAGGACCGGGAATGTATTTCTCAAAAGCCATCCAACTACCCTTTTTGTTTATGATACGATGACCCGTTTCTCGACCGCTTTATTATTATATATAGCAACAAAGCGTATGTACTCCTTCCATAAAAAAAGAAACAATTTAAATATAAATCTAGATAAGTAAGCATCATACTATGTTTTTGTATAGAGGGAGTATATACATATAACAAGTTCAAAATGAAAGGTTCACACATTTTCGGAGTGCACGCGCCAAATTCAGTTAGGGTCTATTTGGATTCCACTAGTACAGAAAATAATTTGTAGGCATGCCTCATATTTATTCCAAGAACGATATACTTGACAAACCGTTTGTAAATATCCTAGGGAGCACCGTAGCTTAAAAACCGCCCCTAGAAATATATTTTTAGGGGCGTTTCTATTAAGTAAACCGTCATCGAAAATATGTATATTTTTAAGGATGGTTTGTTTAAGAGAATCGCTTAAAAAAATGATTTTCACCTACAAATCGATTTTCAAAGGTGGTTGCCCTTAAAAATAACTAGAGCACAAATAAAATAATAAATTGTGAGCTACCTTTAAAAATAAATCTTCTGAGTTGTGGTTGGACCTCTTGGCTTCCTGTCACATTAAAAATAGTTGTTTTATTTTTATTAGACTCTAAATGTTTTTTAAAAAATTCTAAAAATTATTTTTAGTTACGGTTGACTTAAGTCAACCAGTAGTGAATTTTAAGGATGGTTGTCTTAGAAGAACCGTCTCTGAAAATCACTTCTTTTTACAATCGATTGCATAGTAGCGGGTTTTTAAACCGACCCTGAAGATCATTTTTACGGTAAGAAAAAATTATTTTTTACTAGTATTTATGAATGGAATGAAACCAAAATCTAAAAAAACTACTTATTTATTATTAGATTGTATTTCAATTCATCTTAATTCCTGAGAACCAAACAGGCCTTTAGTAGTTGTATTAACCCATCTAATTAGTTCTTGAAGGTTTCCATCTCCTTCCTCTTCCAAACAGCAAAGTAACGTGCTGATCGTGTTCATGTTGTTTTAACTTGAATGTATATATACATTTTTTTTTTCATACCATTACTTTCTATAGGAGGTAATATGTAATAATAACTATTCAAACCGACAGTTAATAATAATTACTATTTCAGAAAAATAGAATAACAAAACGGACCCAAACAAGAACTATGATGATCGATGTACATATCACCCTCATCATGGCCCGCCTAAGTTGTAGGCCCAAAAGAGGAACGGATTTAGCCCACCAAGAGCCTGTTCCGATTATTCAGTACGTGTCCTCCTCCCACAAAACATGCATATTGATCTGATGCCATCATCTCATCTGTGTTAATGAATAGTGTCTGTCCTTGGATTGCAAAGTGGCACAGCAAGGACAATATGAGCTCGATCGGGCTATTAAATCAATCGGGTTTTGACTAGTACCATATATAGTGATTTAATTAATTTTTATTGCATGCAATGCAGGTGTGGGATGTGAAGCTGTGGAAGCAGGATCCGTCGACGCAGGGGAAGAAGGGGCCTCAGATCTCCGAGTCAAGGGTGACGCTGCTTTGCAATCTGCCCGTGCCGGACAACCTCAAGCACGCCGGCGATGCACTCAAGAAGTACGCCACCGACGCCGAGGCCCCCAAAACCACCACCTTCACCAGCAGATTGTAGATATTAGTATATCACAAGTTGTTAATTAAGTAGAGCGATACAGAGATTTATTTGATAGTACAATTGTACACCTACATACATGCATGATGGCACTTATGTGTTGGTGTGCTCTTCCTCTGCTTGCATTTCTCGGCTAGCTTAATTAATAATTAATTGAGCTTATTGTATCGTTGATTTTCTGGGCTGATAAGTTCTAGTATCTGTTGGCTGCTTGATAGCGTTTTTGAAACCGCGAACATCGATATTCTGCTATTGCGTTTTTCGTTTCTCATAGATAGATAAGTAGACTACATGATAGTACATATGTAATAGTGGTGGAGCTCGTCAATTTCCACGCCTAGGGCCATTTTCAAAGTGTGTATAACATCGAATCAAAATACTGTATACACGAGAAGTATATATATAATATAACTGCATTGATTGATGTGCCGAATAGTAACAATATATCAGTACAAGTGTACAACATACCACTTGCTCTAGTTTTGAGATCGTGGAGGTAACGTAACGTTTTCACCCGAGACTTCAATTATCTGTACAACATATCTTCATCTTTGATGCTTGCAAAGACCTAATTTAATCTCCTAATTGATAAATCACGTACTCATTATTAAACTTTTACATCGGGGAGTCCAACAGTTAGGATTTAAGAAAGAGGAATTCACCAAGGTTCATGTCAGCTGTCAGCAGTCGGTCAGGTGTCTGCTTGCAGCTTCTTGGCTTTCTGCCATCCCTGCCCAGTGCCCAGCTTGCTTTGCTGTCGCCGGACAGTGCGGGTGCGGCGGCTATCAGCTGCGGCCAGGCGGGCTAGCCGTTCAACACGCCTCCAGACGCCGTGACCGCCCCTAGCGGCCTGGCGTTGGTGGCGACCAGCGGCCGCGGCTCCTCTTCCGGTCTTGCCGGACGGCGTCTGCTGGCTTGACGAGAGTCTGGTGAAGATCCATCACAAGTAGGGAGACATGGAGGAAAGCAGGAAAAGAATGCCGATGAGATTGCGGCGCACGAACGGGAATCGCCGGAGGGAGGCGCTTGTGCTTTCTGTGCCTGGGCCGGTGCGATTTGGCCCAATATCTAGTGACAGTTCTGATTGGGCCAGAAAATCTATAAGAAGGTGTTTTAGGCCACGGCCTGGGCCCATATCTGTCCCTGGCCGCCCTAACTCGATATGAAATCACGCACGTGCGTGCTTCCTGAATCCTGAATGAATTTGAAAATATATCGGCGTGAGAAAGAAGCGGAGGGTTAGTTACATTACAGTTTGTGCGCTGGCCTAGGACGACATCACAGCTCCAGTTCGCCACTCGATCTCTGGATCCATCGACCATGGCGGCGGCCGGCGGCGGCGGTGCTGCTGCTCCTCCCGCTGCGTGCGCGGCGTGCAAGTACCAGCGCCGGCGCTGCGCGGCGGACTGCCCGCTGGCGCAGTACTTCCCGCACGACCGGCCTCGCGTCTTCCGCAACGCGCACCGGCTCTTCGGCGTCAGCAACATCCTCAAGACGCTGGACCGCGCCGGGCCCGACCCCGAGAGGCGGCACGAGGCAATGCAGTGCGTCGTGTACGAGTCGCAGGCATGGGACCTCTACCCGTCCGCCGGCTGCGTCCCCATCATCCACGGTCTGCAGCGCCGGATACAGCAGGCGGAGCACGAGCTCCGCCGCGTCCACGCCGACCTCCAGGCCTACCGACGAGCCGATGCTGCCATCGTCGTCGTCCAAGGCGGCGGACGACCACCCGTTCATCGCCCCGACAACTTGGACGGCGGCGCCGGCGTCCGCTACTCCTCGGCCGAGGCGATGTCGTCGTCGTCCTCTCCACCTGCACCGCGGCCGCCGCCGTTCCAGTTACAATGGACGGCGGCGATGGGTGAGGACGCCGAGGGCATTGCCGCTGCTGCTCAGGCACCATTTATGTACGGTGGTGGTGATGAGCAGCAGATGATGATCAACAACGCCGTCACTTCCGACGACGGCAACATTGCCGCGGTGGCACCACCGCCACAAACGCTGCCGTGGACCATACAGCAGCCACCGCAGTACGAGCATCCGTTCTTCGTCAACGCAACGACAATGCTGCCCCAGTTCCATTACCAGCAACAACCCATCGTTGTCTCCACCCAGCTGCCGGAGTTGCGAGACGACATGATGAATTACTTTGCTGACGGCATGAACGGTGAAAATGATGAGATGCCTCGTGAATCTAGGTAAATAGTTACTAAACTCATCTTACCTTAGGCTCTCTCAATTCTATAAATTGTTTTGACTTTTTTATATCCATTTTGTTATGCATCTAGACATAATGTATGTCTAGATACATAGTAACTTTCTATGTCCTGCTAGTTGAATGAAATCGTCTCATGGTATATGTCCAGTACGGATTCTTCTGGTGAGAAGGAGATACCTAAGATGAAGGATAACAATGGCTTTCATCAAGCAGGATGTTGATTCTTCCTCCACTCATCCTACTGCTGCAAACAAAAGTTAATCACGCTGCGAGTTCACAGAACGTCATTCTCTTATGAAGTAGGAGCAAAATAACATCTTCTTTTAGTTAACTTGCTAGCTAGCGCAAGTATTTTAGATTTAGTAATTTCTCCATATCCCTAGCTAGGTCTGTTCTCCGGGCGATTCCAGGTGTGTGTGCTCATGTCACCAATCCTTTGTTTGTTTTGTATGAGCATTCAATTTCTTGTTGTTTGTACTTGGATCGCACTCCCTATTCTCAATGTTAATAATGAGTTAGATTTATTGAAGGTTTGTTAATCTGTAAATGGGTTTTTAGTTAAATCCACCAACTTGAGAAATAGATTGATTTGATCATGGTCCATAAACTTTTAAAGTCGTCTACCGCTGGTTCGTGCCAATCCCCTGTGAAACTAGCGTTTGACGTATCGTGCTGACCACGTACTACGCTTAATTTCTCGATCCTCTTTTATTATCTCTCTCGCATGGTCTTGCCGTGCATTTCATTGAGCAGGTCTATGTGCGTAGCCTTTGGAGACACAATCAAACCTCCACTGAGACCGATTTGTTTAATTCTCACGTGCTCGCACTATATAATAATTAGATGATGTGGCTAGCTTATAAAACCATGCACTGAGATTGACTACTCTGTACGTTCAAATTGTAAGTTGACGTGACACTGTGGTGACTCTACGTTGAGACTGCATGGCCACGGATGCCTCTGACTTGGGAGTTCGCGTATGTCAGTTTCTCTGCTTTGCTCCTATCGTCGTCGGAGACCTCCAAGTTGATGCAGGTGGACGACAATCCGGTCAGCAGCACACAGGGAGCGGTTACCTAGCTATAGCAATCGTTGTTGACCCCTGTGAGTAAAGAAGAGCGGGCATGAACCGCTGGTGTACCTCCTCACATCGTGAGCCTCCATTGTCTGCTCCAGCCCAATACACAGACAACCCCCACTGCACGCCAGTTATCCATAGTGGTGATGGTGGCCACGACTAGACGTGATGTACTCCCTTTTTTTGTGTTCTCTTCTCTACTTCTCTAGTACTAGAAAATACATCCGGTTCTGGTCTTCATCCATGCGTGGTCGGCCACCCAATCTCTCTATGGCCCTAGCTCCACTGTACCGACTAAGACAACATGGAGTCTGATGTCTAGTTGTTACCCACTTTTAGGGTTGTTGCTCGCCGCATACCAAGCTTGACACCACAAACCACCGTCGCTGCAAAATCTGAGATATGTTGACGTGCCACCGGTGCAGCCCGCATGATCGGGGAAGGGAAGAGGAAGAAGAGCGCTGCCATGGGAAAGGAAGAGAGGGAGAGGGGCACTACCGAGTTAAGAGCACAAGTGTCTCCACGTCACCGGAGGAAGGGAGGGGCATCACCAAGGGAGGAGCACCAGTTCCTCACACCACGAAACCCACCATCCTATTTACCTTTTTAGTTCTCCACGCTTCTCTAGTACTCCCTCCATTTGAAATTATAAGTTAGAGTCTAACATAGGGGTATGTCAACAAATATGCTCTAAAAAACTTTATCAAATGTTTGAATTATATCATTTCATATAAAATTGATTTGTCGTAGCACCGCACGGGCTAATACCTATAAGAGAAATGAATTCGGCATCGTCTCTTATATTTAAAAGAGTTAGACTACTTATTACAAAAATCTGTAATAATTAAGAAGGTCTAACTCAAACCTTAATTTTACCATTATTTTGACTATCTAAATGGCAAAGAATTGCATAGCAAATGTCTCTAGCACTTGACAGACATTAAGAATGTGTTTCTTGTCAAATTCATCGTGCAATAACTGCACTTTTATATTGACGGATGATGTTGTACTCGAATATAGCACATGTGGTCACGCACATTTTCTTCTGTTACGAATATGGATTTTTTTCTAATCAATTATATAGATTTTTATAATCAATTCTAAATATATATTGGTTGTGTTGTATATATTACGTGTTGGAGTGGAATTCTGTCATATCCATCACTAATCAATGATGCTGTCCAATTTCACGAGGCCTCGAATCCCACCACGAGGGCACGGACTCACACCACAACCCACCATCCACCAACCATCTTGCCGCATATTCCCGCCTTTATGGTGATGATGATCGTCTAACATAGGGTATGTCAAAAAAGCTCTAGATGGAGAAGACAAATGTTTGAAGGAAGAAGCTCAAACGGGAGGTAGTGGGCTTGAAGCTAGTCCATATGCTATGTTATATTGGATCTCATATCTCTATAGATAGGGAGTTTTTTAGTTGCAGGTTAAAAGGTGGGACTACTTATTCATTGCTCATCTTAATCTCCATTGTAGTAAATGTCTCTAGTAATTTCAGACATTAAGAACCATTCCTTGGTATTTGGAGCTCAATTACATAGACTGTCCCTCTTATTTGTTCAGCTAAGTTTCACCACTATCCATAGATAGATGCACTTTTTTGGACAAATTTTTTTTGAATTATGAATTATAGTTTACGAGCATTTGGGTCTCTATTGGATTTTGCTAAATGGGCTTGGTTGTTATAAAAGGTAAAAGGATAGAAGTAGTAGTATTTAACTTTGACTAGCTCCACGGACCACGAATGACTTGCGAAAGAAGTAGAAGGGCGGTAGGGTAGCCTCGCCGCCGCAATGTTGGTTCCCTCCTATAGAAGCAACATCCAATAATAAATTAGAAATGGCACTAGAAACTTGGTTCTAACCTGCTGTTCATGACAAACTTCATGCATGTGGCCACATCTAGGCCGTATGTCTCGACCTCTATGCCTATGTCTTCATATTTGGAGTAAGGGACATACACATCAATGATGCTGCCCAATTTCACAAGGCCTCTCATGTGGCTTCACGACAACACTGCAGCCATCAACCATCTTGCCTCATACTGCGGCTATGGTGATATATCGTCCCCGTGTAGGGAAAAAGCTCTAGATGGAGAAGACACATGAGGAAGAAGCTCAAGACGAGAGGTAGTGGGCTTGAAGCTAGTCCATATGTTATGTTATATTGGATCTCATACTCTATAGATAGGGAGTGAAGCTTAGTTAAGGTTAAGGTGGGCCCTGCCCCTCTTGCTCACCTTAATCTCCATTGTGTAAACCGTAATTTCAGTACCATTCCTTTGTATTTGAGCTCAATTAGATAGACTGTCCCTCTTATTTGTTCAGCTAAGTTTCACCACTATCCATAGATAGATTCACTTTTTTGAACAAAAAAATTTTGAATTATGAATTTATAGTTTACGAGCATTTGGGTCTCTATTGGGTTTTGCTAAATGGGCTTGGTTGTTATAAAAGGTAAAAGGATAGAAGTAGTAGATTTGACTTTGACTAACTCCACGGACCACGAATGACTTGCGAAAGAAGTAGAAGGGCGGGTCCCCAGGGACACGGTGGCCGCTGCTGGCCCAGCCACTGGCAACGGAAATATCCAAAAGGACCCCTCGCATTCCGGAGCCTATAACAGATGAATCCTCTCACACCAGCTGTTTGGGATTCTGGTTGTTGGCGTCCTCTCCTCCTCGGATCCTTCCTGTTGCCTCCTTCCCCACCGCGCCGCCTAAGCGACGGCCGGCAACGCAGCCGATCCCCACCCACACACCCACTCTCCATGGACACGGGCATGGAGTTCTCCTCCTCCGCCCTCCCTCCTCCCGCCTTCTGCTAGGAGCGGCGCCGCCGAGCCGTGTGGCGTGGCGTGGCGTGGACTGGAGATCCAGCTCCCCCAGCGTGGACCAGGGCGCCATCCGTCCTCGATTTGGACTTGGATTCACCTCGCCTTTTCTCTTCCTCTCCCTGGTAAGGAATCCCTCCTTCCCTATCTTGCTTTGCGAGCAGGGTCAGCGCTCGAGAAAAGATCAAATCTTTCCCTCTGGGCTCTGCTCAAAACGAAGGGGGGGGAAAAATCCTCCTTTTTGCCTCTTCTTCGTTTCTTTCTCTCCATTCCGTTCAGTTTGTACCGGATTTCGTGCTGTGCTGCGAATTTCTGTTTGATTTCCTCTCCAAGATATTTGGGGGTACATGACGTTGGCTTCAACTCAATCACGTGCGGCTCCGCGTTGTAACGGAATGTTGTACATACAGTATGCATCTGACAGCCATCCTACAATGTTGCATTGCGGACTCTACCTGTTCCCCCCCAAAATTCCATTGATTAAATCCATCCCTTGTTTAGCTACCCGACACCCTGATTTGGCCTATTGTTCAGTTAGTAGTGAGCAAAACAAAGTACAATGGTTTCTAGAATCAAACCTGAAATGCGCATTTTGTTTCTTCTTTTGATTTGAGCAGCACATCAGCGAGCCATAAAATCTTCATTAACGATGCATGTTTTCTTTTCGCTTCTTCCTACTTTGATATGAATCACAGTATGCGAGAACGTGTCAATTGTAATTGCAGTGAACCTTCGCATAGTAAAATACCAAATGATGGGATCCTTCTCAACTTCATATATATATTCCGTCGCCTTGTTTGTGTTGGCCATTTTGTCATCATAGTGAAGACCTGCATGCATACCTCTTATGCAAACAACAACAATAACAATAACAACAACAACAACAACAACTTTTGTAGTGTTCTCTTGTAACTTTTGTTTGCTAATATGTTGCGGAGCTGTTTTCGCCTGGGTGCTACTACTTCAGTTAGGGTCACCTTTTTGTACATAAAAGCTGAATGACATTAAGGCCCCATTTTTGGACTTTGAACTGAAACCTGCACACTCTGAGGTCTTTCTAGAGTTAACATGCAAGCCCAAAAGGTTCAAGCTGATGGAAAAGCCTCCTTACAGGGGCCAAGTAAGTTGGCTTATCAGTCATGTTTATGTTGCGAATGAGCTTCACCAGAAGATGCCCTAAATCTGGAAAAATGTGTGTTGTTGGGCCTTATAGCCTGCAGCCCATTTTCCAGCTGAACAAATTTATGTCCTTGCTTGACCTAACATTCAACTTGTCTTCAATTTTTGCCATGCTGCTTATTCGAACCTTTTTCTTTCGGCGTGGTTTTTATGTGCTATCTTTTGCCGAGTGACTTTTGGTTTGTAGAGACAACCTTGTTACTAATTGTGCTCCTATATCTAATTGTGTTAACTTAGAAATTCCATAATTTTCTTGTGGAAGTGCAGGCCTAACATTGGTGACCATAATAGGCTTATTGACTTGATTCTACTGGTTTTATTTATAAACAGCTAATGGTATATCCTAAATAAACCTTATATGTTGATTTGCATCAATGTTTTCTTTCAGGTCTGCCATTGAGGGGTCACATGTGTTTCAGTGGCGGTTAGAAGCCTACAACTCTACATTGACGTGAAGTTGTGGTTGGATTTGTTAACCGGTATTACACTCCCTTCTTGCCTGCCACCTCTTTTCTCCTGTTCCTCTCTATGTCCCCGAAAAAAGGCAGCAAGAGATTTGGCGTTATATTATTAGCAGCAGAAAAACAAAAGGAGGTTACAGAATTAGTTCCAACTCAACGACTCACACAGGACCAGGACATCCTTATGCTAATACCCGAACATAGACATGCCCCCCACAAAAATAACACTCAGCATCTGAGTCAATATTCCTCGCCTTATATGAGTTGATACCATATCTGTTTGCTTCATATCCTTCACCAAAAATTTACTGCTCTCTATTTATAATGACAATTGGCTGTACAAAACGGGTATAAGAAGTAGCACTATAGGCCTTTTATACATAATTTCTTTTTTTTTGTGTGTTTTCCTGTTTGAAAACATATTTTATTTGCTGAAGTTTATGCTGTCATGGTTATTATTTGGATGACAAGTCTCATCATTGCTAATTTTGATATTATGACTAGTCATTACTACTTTAGCTGTTTGATTGTCATCCACTTGCATTTCTAAATCTTACTGGGTTCTTAATCTTCAAAATGGATGAAACACCACGATGTAATATTTGGTAATTGGTATCTTCTGTGCTCTTATCCCTGTTCAGCCATAGCAAATAGATACTTGAAAATTCCATGGTTTAAAAGAATCTTAACCAACATTGCTGGAATATAAATCACAAACCTATCGCTCACTTGAATTGTTAATCACAATGTTGATAGATTTCGTATATCCACATGGAGGTACACATACTGCTCTGAATGCTAGTAAAGAGAAGTACCTGCTACAACTTGCAATATGCTGTTTGATTTTGTTATTTAGGCCTTGTTTAGATACCCTCAAAATTTCAAATTTTTTCACTCTCTCTCCATCACATCAATTTTTAGCCGTTTGCATGGAGCATTAAATGTAGGTAAAAAAAATAACTAATTGCACAGTTTAGTTGAAAATCACGAGATGAATCTTTTGAGCTTAGTTGGTCCACGATTGGACAATATTTACCAAATAAGACGAAAGTGCTACTATTCATCGGGTTGAAATTTTTTTCAATCTAAACAAGGCCTTACTCTCGGTTGGCAATATCTTCATTTCTTTGACCTGCTATTGTTTTTAGTTTCTTATTCTTTATATTATGTCAAAAAATAGCCTAAACTCAAAGGAGTGTGTTATTTTGACCATTTTATATAAATGTTATGAATCATTTTTGAAATTTAGAAATGAAATATCTAGGTGTTTGTAATTTTAAGAGTTCTTACATATTGTGAACTAACTTTGCAGTTCATGTTGAGGGCAAAGCAACTTGGCACACTAACTCAGTGTGCACGATCCTTCTATCTTAATGGATCAAGGTGCGGTAGCACAGATGGAGCTTCATGCACATGCCCTGAGGATGAGACTTATGCTCCAAAAAGGCAGACTACAACTGCTATCGAGCAGAAGTCTCATTCAACCCACAGAACATCTGTGAAGATTCAGCCTCCTGTACAAGATGTTATTGGAGCTACTGGCCACCCAGCTCCAGCTGTTCATGCCACTACCTCACCTCCACCAGGAAAGGAGCCTGCATCTAGTAACAGAAGCAATCGTCCTCACGATCATCAGCAGATTATAGGAAGTGATTATGTACAGCCATCTAAGCAGACAGCCAGAAGCATTTCTCAATCTGGAATTGCTGGAGCTGGTGTATATTCTGAGCTGGTTAATTTCAGGTCCTCATCTAATAATGGAAGCACTGATCAGGCTCCACAGATGGGTACTAACTATTCTTATCAGATTTTATCTGATAGCCATTCTTCTAATAACAGGGCACAGAATCAACTTAACTTTCCTGAGGGAAAGATGGCTTATAACCCTTCCGTAAACAATGAATTCGGGAAGGGGTACCCAAGAGCTGGCTATGCAAAGCCAAAGCAGAGTTTCTCAGGACCATCTGTGATGGTTTCCAGTTCACCATCACAAATAAGGAGTCAAGGGCATCCAGGTCCACCCTATGCAAAATATCATTCTAATCATTTCAATTCAGATGCCAGGCGAGATGAAGTACAAACTCGGAACCCATCAGGTCCCAATGTTTTTAGTGGTTCTGGCAACAAAATTCAGGGTTCTACAGGAACAATAAAAGCTCATAGTGGAGGACCCCAATCTAACTTAAGATCATTGAAGTCATTGCGGTCAGTTGATCAGTACTACCACACACTGCAGCAAATGAAATGGGGTCCAATGACCGAGCATGTTCTGGATAATCTTCATTGCAAGATAGATGCGTTCCAGGCAAATCAAGTACTCAAGCTGCTTCATGACCACACTGTCGCTCTTGGTTTCTTTCAATGGTTAAAGAGGCAACCTGGATTCAAGCACGATGGTCATACTTACACAACCATGATAGGCATCCTTGGGCAAGCCAGGCAATTCGGTGTTTTGAAGAAACTTCTGGATGAGATGAGCCGAGCTCACTGCAAACCAACTGTGGTGACATACAACAGAATAATACATGCATATGGCCGTGCAAATTATCTTAAGGAGGCTGTTAAAGTATTTGAGGAAATGCAGGAAGCTGGTTACGAGCCTGATCGGGTTACATATTGTACATTGATTGATATCCATGCTAAAGCTGGATACCTGGACATTGCAATGGATTTATATGGCAGGATGCAAGAAGTAGGCCTGTCACCAGATACATTCACCTACAGTGCCATGGTTAATTGCCTTGGTAAAGGTGGTCAATTAGCGGCTGCTTATAAGCTTTTCTGTGAGATGATTGAAAATGGCTGCACGCCTAACCTTGTTACTTACAACATTATGATTGCACTCCAGGCCAAAGCAAGAAATTATGAAAATGTTGTTAAGCTGTACAAAGACATGCAGGTTGCTGGGTTCCGTCCTGACAAAATAACTTACAGCATTGTTATGGAAGTTCTTGGTCATTGTGGCCATCTGGATGAGGCTGAGGCTGTTTTCATTGAGATGAGGTGTGATTGGGCTCCTGATGAGCCAGTATATGGACTTTTGGTCGATCTCTGGGGCAAAGCCGGCAATGTTGACAAAGCACTAGGATGGTACCAAGCAATGCTTCAGGATGGTTTGCAGCCTAACGTGCCTACCTGCAATTCGCTCTTGAGTGCTTTTCTGAAGATGAACAGATTTCAAGATGCCTACATCGTGCTCCAGAACATGCTTGCTCAAGGGCTTGTTCCATCTGTGCAGACTTATACCTTGCTGCTCAGCTGCTGCACCGAGGCTCAGGCACAGATAGGTTTGTGCGGCCAGCTCATGGCCATCACTGGACATCCAGCTCACATATTCCTGCTGTACTTGCCTGATGCAGAACCTGGTGGCCAGAACGTCAGGGATCACACCGGGTATTTCTTGGACATGATGCACAGTGAGGACAGAGAGAGTAAAAGGGGTCTAATGGATGCTGTCATAGACTTCTTGCACAAGTCTGGTCTCAAGGAGGAAGCGGGCCTTATATGGGAGGTTGCTGCACAGAAGAATGTGTACCCAGATTCTGTGAGGGAGAAGAGCTCGTCGTATTGGCTCATCAACCTTCACTTGATGTCTGAGGGCACAGCAGTGACTGCTCTGTCCAGGACACTTGCCTGGTTCCATAGGCAGATTCTGACATTGGGCACTGGTCCTGAAAGAATTGACATTGTCACTGGCTGGGGCAGGAGGAGCAGGGTAACTGGATCTTCGCTGGTTAGACAATCGGTTCAAAAGCTTCTAAACCTCTTTGACTTCCCATTCTTCACCACCCGTGGAAATACTGGCTGCTTTGTCGGCTGCGGGGAGCCACTCAACAAATGGTTGCACAATCCTTATGTTGAGCGCATGCATTTATTGTAAGCTTGCAGTGAGGTCATTGGCCAGGCCAGAAATTATGGACCTATTTAAGCAGGCACAATTTTGTGGAAGGATCAGCTTGGGATGAATAAAGATGTGCACCATATATAGTTTGTTCCATAGCATTTAGTCAGGTCAGGTGTAGTTTGGTAGCCGAATAGTCTATGCTTGGAAACTATTTAGTGTGATTGTGGTAACATTTAGAGATGGCATTGTTCGTTTAGCATAAATTTCTCTCAATTAGCCAGTGAGGATTACTCCATCAGGTGTTCCGTGTTCCAATTCTTCATTTTAACTTGAGTGACAGGTTGACAGCTGCTGCTGACAGGTAATGTTGTTGATGAACAAGTATTGATTATTGAGAGTTGAGACAGAAGAATCATATGCTTCATAGCTGGATGCACATTCTGATCGGTCAAGTACAATTCACAACTTGATCAACTAGATCGTAACTATTATCATTCCAGATTGCACTTTGTACACCTACATTGTAACTACTATCATGATGCTATATGTACCCCATCTTAGGTTAGTGTTACAATTCAGTAGCAAATGTAGCTCCCTGATCCTGGTCATCTTGGAATATCCTTATCTTGATTGCATATTTGTCGGTATCCCTGAATCATTCCCAGATAATCTAAGGAATCTCTTTCATCACTCAATCCATTTCCTTCTCTGATACTCCCAGTTACAATTGCAAACATGACTGCTGCTCTGAGAGATTGCTAGTCGATGCCAGTGTGCCTATGCTTGTCCCAGCTATATACCCACCGGTCCATGCATTCTGTGGAAAAACAAACAACTAATGCTGGTTACAAACCTTTTTCTTCTCACTTTAAATATGAACTACTCAATCAAGTTTTCATTGCCAAAGTTTGTGGTGAACCTATTGATGTTTTAACAAAAACAATATTCTAACGGAATTTGTACGGCTTACCTGAAAATTGAATCCGCCTGTGACCCCATCAACATTAAGAACCTAGAGCAAGGCCATCCGCAAAAAGTTAAATAAACTTTAAGTTTGCTGCTCCAGAATGTCTCGACTTCAAGAACGATATATTACCTCTCCTGCAAAGAACAGATTTGGCTGTTTCTTGCTTTCCATAGTGCCAAGTGATATCTTTAACAATAGGGAGGCAAGTTAGGTCTATATGCAAGTTGATTTCATGTTCAAGAAATTTGCAGTTAATGATTAGGAACCTCTGAAATTGGAACACCTCCTGCAGTCACAAATTCATCTTTAAATTGGCCCTACATATGATATAACTCACAGTGAGTTACTGTTGATATCCTTTACTAAATGACTGACAAATTTCAGTTAGCATATTATGAAATATCACACACCTTTCCGACAACCTCAAACATCCATTGTTTCAACCGAAGGGCTATTGTGTTTAGATGATTATTTGGCATGGAGGCCCAGTGTGTATCACCATTTAAACTCTGCAAATGTTAGACTTTCCTGATGAAATCATCTAATTAAATGGATAAGCTAAGCACTATTCAGTAATAGTATCACCTCCTGTTCTAGCAGGAATCTCCAAAATCTCTTCACCAGGCCAAACTCCGTGGGGAACGTGTTATTCACTTTGTGCTTCTGCAGTTCAAATTCATCATTATTTATTTATGGAACTGTTAGAATATTTCTCTCATGATTTTGAAGGTCATTTAAAACTTTGGTAAAAGTATTCTCTCATGAACTGTTATTATTTGTGCTGGCAAAGTCAAAGATCATCTCAGAAAGCCAAATAATTAGTAGTAAGACTCAGAACTATTGCAGCACTTTACTCGAGAACACTTTTTTCAGCTCATCAAAGCAAAGGCAACTCAAGAGTAGCTAAACCAGCAACAGATTCAGATTCTTTTGAAGATTTATGGCACTTAGTAACTTCAGTGGGTAAAGGAAATACTACAAAGAAAGAAATGGACCGCATGCTGATCTTTGTACTGGAATAGGATGCGCTTCACGTCCTCGATATGAATATCAGGTACAAAGTCAACCATAAGCTTTCCTGTGTTGAGAGAAATGTATGAGGAAAGTGGATACTATTGAGTGTACAGAAAGTCAACCATCAGATTTCTTGTTCTCAATTTAATGTATTTGGTGATAGACATACAAAGAAACTGAAAAGGAACATATCAGATGAAGAGGTAAAACAGCAATGCTTGGATCACTAGAGAAACAAGAAAACAGGATATGCAACATGTTTGTACTCAGCAGGTGCCATAAAAGGTTAGCAGAAAGTATCAAACATTTGAATTTATGAGGACAAACAAGAAACATTCTAAATGATATAATAAATTTAGTATGACAAAGTACTGGTCCATAGGTGCCCAAAAGCTCTTAAGACTCTAAAAATTTCTAACACAAAGAGTCAGATCATTAAGAATTTTGCTAACATGCATAATTCCCTAAATGATAACTCAGGAAAGTAAACCATTGCTAGAAAGTAACAAAAATAATAACGGTAAGTGTAAGGGACTCCCTGGAACTCTAAAGAAAAGAAGAATGCAGGGAGTGTTCTGGATCTACTGAATACAATGATGATCACAGACTACAAAACTAGAAAAATATAACAAGGATGCCATTGCCCCCAATTGTCAATCTAGTGAAAGTCCTGTATACTTTAATTGCATCATACCTTGGTAGTTGCACTGATGTAGTTCACGTGCTCCCCATGCCGACAACCGCAGCACAACAGGCCCACTAAGCCCCCAGTGTGTAACTAACATAGGCCCAGTCTGTAAAGACAAGTTACTTGGTGTAAGCGATGTGTATAACTAGTTGGCTACCTCTCTAAGAACCAGCCAAATGCTGAAAAGAAATGGCATGTTCACCTGAGTTAATTCGGGAACACTTTTTTGAACACCATCCAGCTTTAGTTTTGCCTTGACTATTGGAAATGTAACCTACATAGCAGAAAGAACAAGGGGTAAAAGTCATTGCCGCTCAGTACTCCTGTTAGAAACAAAAACCAACTGCGATGAGGGTTCCTTCTATAGGACACAAGTCTTGATGTTAATCATGTTCCTCCTCAGTAGCAAATAAATTATGGACACTAGTAGGCAGGTAAATCGAGTCGTGGTCTCCTCGCATTGCACAGGCGAGGGTAAGGCTTGCCACTAACACCCTTCCCCAGACCCTGCACAGAGCGGGAGCTCTCTGCAATGGGTACGCCCTTTAGTAGGCAGGTAAACGGAGGAAACTCGTGTAATTTGGCAGCATGACTTACAAATTATCACTATTTTATTACTAGATAGAGTAATTCTTAGCATGGGAATTGAAACAGCTTCTGTGGATGCATACCCCAGCGAGATCAGCCAGCCGCTTGTCTGCGATTTTAAATGTGAACAAGCTGGGCACTGGTGCAATAATGGAATGACCAAGCCGTGCAGCAATTGAATAACCCTACAGGTAAGCAAGATGTTAGGGGTGTAACTTCCTGCCCTATGATATGGTGACAAGATATGAAGATACAAAGCGAGGGGCAAAAAGGAATGCCGATACCTGTTGGCTGCTACCTGTAGCAACCAAGACATAGTTAGCATTGATATAATCAACAAAATCAGAGGTACGCTTCTCAACCTTGAGAACAAACTTTCCATCTTGAGCAACAGATGCACTAGACACAGCTTTGCCGGCCTGCAGAGAAACTTCCATTTGGTTTTGAAGTGGTCAGGGAGTGATGGGCGGTAGCATGAGGGGGAAATTAACAGGAAAGGTAATTAATTAGCAAGAGGTACCCCCAAGCCTTCTTGCTTCGTTCAGTAGACAGTCTACAACTGAAGCTGAATTGTCAGTGACAGGGAAGACTCTGCCATCGTCCTCCGTCTATGAGATTGGCAACCAACAAGGGGAAGGGAGCAACATTAGCAACTAGCTGCGGAGGAATGCATACAGAATACAAAGATTCTGAAGCAACTAGCGTGCTACCTTAAGCTCGACACCGTGATCTGTGAACCAGCGCATGGTATCCTGCGGACCGTGAGCGGTAAAGAAGGATCCTCGGAGCTCCTTGTTCCCCCTAGGGTAATTTCTCGCCAAGCCCTGCAAACAACACAACAATGGGCACTGCTGATATGTTTGCAGCAACACGAAAATGGTAGTGACAGGCCGGATGGACGGCGTGGGCACCAAAATCTAGGAATACCAGGATAGGAGTAAGAGGCGTAATTTCTCATTACCGCGGGCTCAAGATGATGGCCATTGGTTACGTTGCAGCGGCCACCGCCGGAGATCTTGACCTTGGACAAGAACCTGCCTTTCTCGACGACCGCGACGTTGAGGTGCGGAGCAAGTGTCTTAGCCCTTATGGAGGCGTACACGCCCGCCGCGCCGCCCCCCACCACGACCAACGACGGCTCCTCCTCGTGTTGCCCCTGCACAGATGAGATGACACCAAGCTCAAGCGTTGTAGGGGGGACATGAAAAGAGCTTGGCGGCGACAGCGCACATGGGTCTTACCTGCTCGTAGGTTGAGGTCCAAGACGCGGGGATAGAAGAGAGACAGCTCGTCCTGCAGAAGGCGGTGGCCCGGCGAGAGGTGGTGAGGGTGGGCTGGAGGCACGGCGGCCATGGCGGCATTTCGACGAACAGCTCCGCTGCTGCTATCTATCTCTGCCCAGCTGACTGAGGTGGGCGCCGCGCTACCCCGAGAAGAATCACATCGATTAATTGGGCCCACCCTTGTATCTAATCCGGCCGCTTGCTGAGGATGATTTGGCACGGGATTGGGCCGGGCCTGCTTCCTCCGATTGGGCTCCATGCTGCACTTGCCTGCGCGCCATCCAGCTCTGAAACGAGCCCGGCCCAATAGTTACTCCACGCCTTCATGCGGCCTTTCTCATCCTTTCCGTTTCAGCCTCCTCCTCCTTTCCGTTCGGCAGCGCAGCCGGCCGCGGAATCCGGCGACGTAGCTGTCGGAAGCCGAGCAGCGAGTGGTGGGTGGGGCAGGTTGTTGCGGGCGACGGCGCAGTAACTGCTCCGATTTGTCGTCCAAGGT